GCCACGGCACTCACTCTAGCCAGGGCAACAAAAGCGAGACTCTGTCTCAAAAAAAAAAAACCAAAACAGATATAAAATGAACACATTTTAAAGATTTTATTTAACTTATTAAATGAAAGAACCAAACCAATGTTATAACGCATTCAAAGGAGAATCACTTAGAACAGACACATGTATAGATCACTCACTTGTTTAGTGGTATGACCATGAAAACAGGTACAGAAGGTAGTCAAAGTGTGGTACCTTTTCTAACAGGTGGCTTCTCCACTAACCCATTTTCCCTAACATGTTCTCAGTGACACTGGAGACCTCAATGATGATACTTCTTCCTGTTTGTGCCGGCCTTTGCCTTATTGTATATGGTCTTTGCCTTGTCTCTTGCTTTGATTTCTAGACCTCTTCCTAGAGATGGAGATGAGGCTGAAAGAGGAATTAGAAGGAGACATAGGTAACATTAGACAAAATGGACATAAGTGACATCAGTTTGCTATTTCTTTTCCTCAGTCTACCTTCACAATTATATTTAGTGACTTACAGAAACCTGTAGGGTAGAAAAAACCATAACAGTTATGCAGAAAAAGAAAGTGTGTATTGCTATGCTAGAAAATGCAAATTTGGGGATTAGGGAAGAATTCCTAGGGAATGCATGTAGTAGTATGCTTTACATTCTTCCCTCATCTACAGGCACACCTCAGAGATATTGCAGGTTCCGTTCTAGACCACTGCGGTAAAGTGAATATCACAAAAAAGCAAGTCACACATATTTTTCCCAGTGCATATAAAAGTTATATTTACACTATACAGTAGTCTATTAAGTGTGCAGTAGCATGTCTAAAAAACAATGTAGGGGTGGGTGAGGCAAAAAATTTTTTAAAAAACCAATGTCTATACCTTAATTAAAAAGCACTTTACTGCTAAAGAATGCTAATGATCATCTGAGCCTTCGGTGAGTTGTAATCTTTTTGTTGGCGGAGGGTCTTATCTCGATGTTGATGGCTGGTCACTGATCAGGGTGGTGATTGCTGAAGGCTGGGGTGGCGATTTCTTAAAACAAGGCAACAATGAAGTTTGCTGCATCAGTTGACTCTTCCTTTCATGAAAGATTTCTCCATAGCACTTGATGCTATTTGATAGCATTTTACCCAAGTAGAACTTCTTTCAAAATTGGAGTCAATCTTCTCAAACCTCGCTGCTGCTTTATCAACTGGATTTATGGAATATTCTAAATCCTTTCTTGCTCTTTCAACAGTGTTTCACAGCATCTTCACCAGGCGTAGATTTCATCTCAGGAAACCACTTTCTTCATAGCTCACTACAGCTTCAGAAAAAAACAAATACTTTCTTTGATCATCTGTAAGAGGCAGTTCCTCTTCCCTTCCAGTTTTATCATGAAATTGTAGCAATTCAGTCACATCCATCTTTAAGCTCTCCTTATAATTCTAGTTCTCTTGCTATTTCCACCACATCTGCAGTTACTTCCTCCATTGACATCTTGAACCATTCAAAGTCATCCATGACAGTTGAAATCAGCTTCTTCCAAACTCCTGTTAATGTTGGTATTTTGACCTTCTCCCATAAATCACAAATGTTCTTAATGACATCCAGAATGGTGAATCCTTTCCAGAAGGTTTTCGACTTAACATTGCCCAGATCCATCAGAGGAATCACTGTCTATGTCAGCCATAGGCTTTCAAAATGTGTTACTTTAAAGAATAAGACTTGGTAGTCGAAATTATGCCTTGATTCACGGGCTACAGAATGGGGCTGGGGGAATAGGGAGATACTGTTTAATCGTGTAGATTTTCAGTTTGGGATGATGAAAAAGTTCTGGAAATGGGTAGTGGTGATGGTGAATTTACTTAATTCCACTGAACTGTACACTTAAAAATGGTTGAAGTGGTAACTTTTATGTTATATGTATTTTACCACAAGAAAAAAGGTGATCTTAGAGGTACCATGCGGCTGTAAAAAAGAACAAGAAAGATGTCTGTATATTGATACTGTAGTAATATTGAAAGATAGCCAGGATAAATTAAGTGTAAAAAAAAATAACATGCAGAACAGTTGTATATTATACTATCTTTTGTGTAAATAAGGGAGGATAAAAATACAAATTCACATTTGCTTTTATGTGCATAAAGAAACATTGCAAGGATTAAAGAAGCAACTAGTAAAAGTTGTTACCTCCAGGGAGGCAAGAGCAGTAGTAGTGAGACATTTCAATATTTATCCTTGTATGTAATTTTGACTTTTGAACCATGTAAATGTATTATCTAGTCAGATTAATTTTTTTAACATGTTACTTAAAATGAATTCATTGTAAAGGGATCAACAATTTTTAGTTACAGAGAATGTAATTTTTAGAGGTGTTGATTAACTGTTGCTGCAAGTGTCATCCCCTCTCCCAGACAGGTGAGGTCCAGGAATCCGGAGTCTGTGCAAGTGTGTGTTGTTTTAGGAGCCTGGCTGAGATGCAAAAGTGGAATTTCACCTTCATATCTCTTTTAGGCTGTATAGAGAACATATTTTTGGAAGAAAATAAAGGCAAACTCTCAAAGTTCGTCAATACCAAGGAGTCAGAAAGAGGGAGACAAGTCATTATGCCTGGGGTGAGGCCTTTTACCAGGGTCCAAGGATTTCAAGGCTGGCTGGGGCGATGGGATCATTAAAAATATTATTTGAAAGAGTCAGCCTAAAGCGTTCAAAAGCAGCAAATTTTAGCTGTAGCTCTACATCTCTGCAAAATACAACTTTCTCTGATTCCATCATTAATGAGAAGCATATTATGTCTAACACTTGCATCTGAAGCAAGAAGCAGAGCTGCTTTGTATTTCTTAGACAGTACCAGCTGAGAGAGCAGCTGATAGCTGAGCACTGCCTAATCTCTCTCCCCACTAAAGGGAGTAGGACTGTTATGTCTTCCCTGTTCATTTCCCTTTCAGCCTCCCTTTCCCACCTAGACCCAACAGGAGATGGAGAGAGAACACCCCCGAGGCAGGCTGTGAAAAGTGGAAGGTGGGCTAGGGACAGCCCAGCCCCTCCCAGCTCTTAACTTCTTAGCTGTGTTCCAGGGCACGTGGGTTAGAAGCAGAATCAAGGGAGTCATATCCTGGAATCGTGACCAATTTATAACTGGAAGAGCACTTTAAAGCAGAGTTTTCAAGGTGTAGATGAACACAAAGAGCTGAGGTACAGAGCCAAAATGAGAGAATTGAGAACTAGGAAGTCTGTAACTGAAAATAGTAAAGAAATAGGCAACTGGAAAGTAGTCTATAAAAATTCCAGAGATGGAGTTCAGGTGATTTTTACGTGATTCCAGCACAGGCACTCAAGCTACACTTTACTCATTTAAAGATATTAAAGTTATTAGAATGGGTAAGTAGTTATTTTTCTCTGCCTCATCGATCTATTTATAGGTCTGTCTGCCCTACTACGTTGTAGGAATTGAAGACAAGCACTTGAGCTGTGGTGGAAAAAGCATGGACTTTGGAATCAGGCAGATCTATTTAAGTCTAAACCCCTTCTCTTTCTTGCTGTTAGACGTTGGTCAAGTTTTTATCACACTGGACTTTGGGTTCTGTGTGCATCATTGTATTGTTATAAGGATTAAATGGGAGAAAAACATTTTGTATATAATCATCTTGCACATACAACGTATTCAATAGATATGTTCTTCCCTTTTCCTTTTTGTATCTTCCACAGAGCTTCACCTTTAAAAGTTATTCAAAATATTTATCCACTTGAGTATGTTTCTACCTAGGAAATGTGAACCTTGGTTAAGGACAGCCCGAGGCAGGCATATTTATAAGGCTTTTACCTTGAACAGTTAACGTCGTTGTTAAATATTTTATCAAGCGACTGTCTGTTACGTGCCAAATGCTGCGTATTCACTTGCTGATCTGGTCTTTCTTCCGTGTTGTCAAAGTCCAGCTTGGAGCTTATACTTTGTGAAGGCCTATTCCTTTTTTTTTTTTTCTATTTACAGGACCTCTTCTCAACTCCTATTTTTATCAGTGGGTATAAGAGTCATTTCCTTAAACTCAATTCAAACAAAACCTTAACCATACAGTCTGGGCATGGATAAGTATAGAGAATGTTAGATATCTTTCCTTCTTTTGTCAAATATTTATTGAGCACCAATACTGTGCTGGGGTGGATATAACCAGTGTCAATATATGATTACTGCCTCCCAAGGAACTATTCCTCTAGTAAAAGAGATATGCATGTACCAAAGTATAATTAATTCTTTACCAATATGATACCACTTTTGTTTACCATTTTACATTTTACCATTTAAATTGATCCTGTTTTAAAAACATGCACATACACATAGAAAAAGGATTGGAAAGATATGCACCAGGATGTTGTCAGAGCTTACCTCTGAGTAGTGGTATTGGGTGGTATTTTTTTCTTTGATTTTGCTTACCTGGATTTTCTAAATTTTTAAAAATTTTATTTTGAAATAGTTATAAGAAATTCATCATTTCCACTTCCTTGCTAATAGACTAGTGACCCCTCTCTTTCTCTTGCATTTAGCTTTTGCGAGAATTGAAGCACCCTAATGTGATCGCATTGCAGAAGGTGTTCCTTTCTCACAGTGACAGGAAGGTGTGGCTGCTGTTTGATTATGCAGAACATGACTTGTGGGTAAGTATAAACTCACTGTATTTTTAGGATTATTTTATATAGGTATGGAGCACATATGTATATGGTCCATATTGCTAATGTACAGAAAGAAAAGATCGCTCTGATAACCATAGTTCAAAATAAATTTAATATACCCTATTTCAGGCTGTTAAACCCAAAATAAATATAATAAATGTAAATGTTAATTTTAAAGAATTTGTGCAGTAAACTAACATTTTACTGAGAACACAGTATTTGTAATATTCAAAAATTTCATTTCAGAAAATTTTAATGATTGGGAGATTATAATTTCATGCAAGTAATTAGTGGCAGTTTAGTAATATGTGTGGTGAAAATTACTTTCTTTTGTGATACTCACGGTAGTTCAAATTTAACCAGCTATGTGCTTGTGAATAGTTTCTCTTTCCAAGTGAAGGTCAACCCCCTGAAGCATTTTTCTGTTTAAAACTAGCTCCACCAGATAGAAGTATATGTACGCCCATAATAATTACAAAAAATTTAAGAAGTATGTGTGTGACTGTGCAAATTTTAAAGACACTTTATCAATATATAATAAAAGCAAAAATTGTTAATTCTTAACTTTTAAGATTAGGAATCAGAACATTTGAACATTTTATCTGAAGAACTGCTAAAAGTAAAAAAAATTCAAATTTGGCAGTAAATTAAAATTATGGGTAATTAAATTTTGATTCAATATGGTGTGGCTTGTCATCTATATAAATTATGTATCTGTTTAGGAATAACTTTAACAGACTCAGGTATTAAAGGAATTTTTAGAATTCTTGCTATTATAGCAGATACTGATAAGAATCTCTAGTGTATTTTTCTCAATTTTTTTCATGGATATTCATAAAAATTGTATTTTCTCCATTTTTCTGTATTCTCCTAAATGTCTACCAAGGTCTAATTGATAACGCATGTACTTCACTTTGAACATCAGTAGTGTGATGAAAGATGTAGTGCATTAGACTAGTCAGATCCTGTAGAGCTGCACTGTACAATATGGTGCACACATTCATTGTACCTGGTTCTCTTTTTCTAATGTGACTGTTAAAAAGTTGAAAGTTACATATGTGGCCCCCATTATATTTGTAATGGAAATTGCTGCTATAGTATAAAACTCTAATTTTCTGTTAGTTTTTAAAATCAAGTGAATGTTATTGAACAGTTGATAAAAATTAGGAAAGCTGCATAAATAGCTCAATGATTTTACGTAACATTTGGTCATTTTAAAGTTAGTAGAACACTGATGACTTTACCAGTATTGTTTGAACAGGGCTTTGAAGGCCCTCAGTGTCCATTAGGCATGTTTTAGACAGAGGGTGGGTGGGGATGGAGGTGGCAGTGTGGGGACTGCGGAGCAGGTAGCATTTCTTCCCTTTCATTACAATGTTTTTATAACCCACAGTATACTATGTGGATGAAAAAATTTGAATATGATGATCCAGTTGTATATATTTCAGTGGGATCGAATTTCCAATTTTTCTTTCCTTCCTCCTTTTTAGTGATTACCTATTTAATATTAACTCCTAGGAATATATCCTAATTCATTCTGTGCCAAAAGAATGTGGCACTTTCCCAATAATTCAAGTATACACATAGTCAGTGATGTTACCCAAATGCACTTGGTGCTAACTTTTTATAGAATAGAAAGATTTACAATTTTTTTCTTCTTTTTTTAAATCTTTCATTCTATCAGTAGAGAATATAACTAATGCTATTCTTAAGCAGCTGTTAGATATCAACCTTTTTTGCCTTTTGGTCCTATTTAATGAAAATCTTAATGGTTTCAGTAAATATAGTCATTTTGACCCCAATTAACATGATTACATTCACCCCCAACATAGATTCAATTTTAGTCGACCTTATTATTCAAATTATTTTTCTTCCTGTCATTATTGGCCTTTAATAAGTAATTTTAAAATACAGAGCATTTATTACAGCATCGGCTTGTATTTTATTGGCATAGATATTAGCAAAGAATATATTATTATAGTATGTTTTATTTTTTGATTTTTAGCATATTATTAAGTTTCACCGTGCATCAAAAGCAAATAAAAAACCCATGCAGTTGCCAAGATCTATGGTTAAATCATTACTTTACCAGATTCTTGATGGTATCCATTACCTCCATGCAAATTGGGTGCTTCACAGAGACTTGGTAAGTATGTTTCTTTTAAATTCATCAATATGTTTTTTTCTCCTCTTTTAAAAAATATCTTTTCTTTTTGGTACAATTATAATAAAACGTTAATTATAGAAAATTTTGAAAATACACATAAGCAAAAAAGAAGGAAATAAAAACCCATAAACCTATAATCAAAAGAGTACCATTATTAACATTTGATGTATATATAATTCCATTATATTTATGCATGGCTATAAAATGTCAGTGTGATTTTAAGCAAATGATTACTGCCTAATTTTAATGGAGTAATTGCATGTGAAAATAGTACGTTTTAATCCAGTTTGTTCTTCATGTTATTGTTCATCATTACTGAAAACATAATTAAAGACTGGGTTCCCATGTTTTTCCCTTAAGATCTAAACTGAAATACTGACATGGCATCTGATAAAAAGAATTTTGTTATCAGCATTAACAATAAATAAATGAATAAATAATTCTTAATAGGTGGGATATACTTTTTAGGCAAATTAGCCATAATTCAAATGTTTGACTTTAATTTTTTATTCAGTGTACATGTAACAACCATTTATTAATATCAAATTATATGATAGATATTAATCTTCACATTGTCGTCAGTTTATGTTGATGAATTTTTTGTTTGTTCTTAAGAAGATATGATTATGGAATAGCTGTAATCCTTATTTTATCCTCAGTTTATCTTTGGAGGTTTTATTTTGTGCCCCCCCCATCCCCAAAGTGGTATCATGATCATTTTTGTCTTAGGCTTTTGAGAATTCTAGAGATATGGTAGGGATACATCTAGGTAGATTCCATTTTATTAACTGAGGAGAGGTCTTTTATTAAAGAAAAAATGAATGCATAGAGATCTAGTTAATATCCCTTGGTACCTTGTCAGTCAGGCCTAGTGATATGACTTGATCACCTCTTGGTGTGGCATTGTCGTTAAATTAAAGCCAGATGATAGGACCCACAAAAGATGCATTTACCATTTTAACAGAAATGATAAATATAATTTTTATTTTAACAGAAATAGTAAATTATAATTTTTAACTGAAAGGTTCTTCAAGACTTCCACCTATCCACTTTACTATTAGCCATAAGTCAGCATGTTTTAAAATGATCGTTGGGTATATGAGATTGTTCTTATAATGACGTGACCTCCTTCATAAATGGGCTTTTAATCTGCTATGTGCTTAATTTCACCTATGAGAGTTATATTTTTGAATTTATAATCTTGTTTGAATCATTGATCAGAGTCTTTTATTGAAGGTTAATTAATTTGAGCTCTTCTCTCTTGTTTCACAAAATTGTATATTTTGTTCTAAACAGCATAGTTTAACACATTTTACTCATGATATTGTCACCTGAATATCCACTGGTACTAAAACTCAGTCTGACCAGGACTCAGCTTTGTCCCGTCCAAACTTGCTGCTGCTTTAGTGTCCTCTATTTTGGTTATGGCGTTACACTCTTCCTAGCCTAGAAACTTCTTTTACCTCTCTGCAGACTCTTTTTTGCACTCTACATCCAGAACTTGCCAAATTCTTTCAGTATTGTCTCTGAAATATCTTTTCCGTTCATATTTTTTCTTTTCTTTTTTAATGTCTCTGATGCTAAAACCGTGAACCATTCATCTATTTTTATCTCTAGTGCCTCACTCCTAGTTCAGGCCTTTATTATCTCTTTCTTGTGTTATGGTACTAACCTCTTAACTTATCTCCTTGTCAACAATCTCTTTCTGCTCCAGTCCATGTTAGCCCTTCTAACTAATGACTCAGCTCCTGCTCAAGAACTTTGAAATATTATTTATTTTTTATTTATTTTATTTTTCGATACAAGCTCTCCCTCTGTCACCGGGGCTAGAGTGCAGTTGTGTCATCATAGTTATAGCTCACTGCAGCCTCCAATTCCTGGGCTCAAGCAATGCTCCTGCTTCAGCTGGGACTACAGGCATGTGCCACCAGGCCCAGCTAATTTTTCTATTTTTTGTAGAGATGGGGGGGGTCTCTATTGCCCAGGCTGGTCTCTAACTCCTGGGCTCAAGCAATCCTCCCACCTTGGCCTCCTAAAATGCTAGGATTACAGTTGTGAGCCACCGTGCCCGGCCAAGAACTTTGAAATAGTTCCTCACTGCATACGGATGAAAGCTCTAGTTCCTTATTTGGCTTTCAGGGTCTTACCAGATATAGCTCCAACTGTTTTTAAAATTCTTCTCTATTCCTGCTCATTTTTCACGTACACTTTACTACTAACCTATTGGTTGTTCCCTGTATCCTCCTGAGATTTCCTGCCTCAGTGGCCTTTATTTCCCCTGTCTTAGCTACATACTCAAATACTTATTGTCTTTCAGGGTTCAGCAGAAATGTTAAAACTTATCATGTCCATTTCTACGTGGAAATAATTTCTTCTTGTTAGTGGTTCCTCTTGTGCTTCATTTTTACTTTTCTCATGGTGTTTACCTATTAGTATTATAGTAATTTATATAGATGTCTTACATCATCTCCTGGCCTGTAAACTTCTTGAAAGAGCAGGGTCTATATCTGCTTCTTTTTGTACACCACTACCCCTGTACACAAGAGGTGTTGACAAAATATTTCCTCCGTGAGTGAGTATCAGTGAGGATATTATTACATTTTTTGGATCAAGTATTCGAACACACTGTCCTCAGTGAACATTTATTATTTTCTTGAATGGATAAAGCGTGGAGGGATAGGGACAGTACAAATACGACTGCATCAAAGACCTTCTTCTCAAGGAGCTTACAGTCTGAGAGAAGAAATGTGATATGCCCACAAACAATTATACTGTACGATAGATGAGAGAGAATGTGCTTGCAGCTACATGAGTGGTACAGACTAAATGCTATTCAAGGTCAGAAGAGATTCTGAGTAGGGGTTACAGGAAAGTGTCAGAGAGCAGGTGGCATTTGAGCTAGACTTCAAAGGACATGTGGAATTTAAATAAGAGATTTAGGGGCTGAAGGCAACCTAAGGGAGTGCTGGATGTAAAAATTCTGAGGTTAGAAAGCACTTGGATTATCTCAAAAAAGGGCATGGTGTTCTGCCTGGCTGAAATATGGATACGCTGAATTGGGGTAGCATGAAGTAAGACTAGAAACTGAGACAGGCCCTACATATCAGGCTAGAGAGTTTGGTGGGGGCGAGGGGGGTGTCTTTTTGTTTGTTGAAGTACTGAAAGTTTGTGAGCAACAGAATGAAGGTTTTGCCCTCACTAAAGAAACCACCACTGATTATTATTACTTTGTCCATAGCATGACCACAATATTGAAAATGTGTTCTGAATGTGGTTCTGATCTAGGATAGCACTTGTTTATGTTTTACTCACACATTTACTGAATGCCTCCACTCCTCAAGTAACTCTAATAAGATTTGAAATTTTGAACCAACAGGAATCTAGTCTGTGACAGCCTCCTCAATTCTTTTCACTGATCATGAGTCGTGATATCTGCACTATACTGTCATGGTTTTGCCAAAGTACTTTCAGGAGTAGAAGATTTAAACTGTATGTTTACTTTATAATTGGTGGTAGATACAGAAATATAAAATATACCATGTATGAATATGGTATCAAAAGGATGATGGAGACATTTGAAAAATCATTTTTTGTGAGCTTAGGAGTAGAATTGCTGTTTTAGTCAATGACTAATTTTTTTTTTTTTTTTGAGACAGAGTCTCGCTCTGTTGCCTGGGCTAGAGTGCCGTGGCGTCAGCCTAGCTCACAGCAACCTCAAACTCCTGGGCTCAAGCGATCCTTCTGCCTCAGCCTCCCGAGTAGCTGGGACTACAGACGTGCACCACCATGCCTGGCTAATTTTTTCTATATATTTTTAGTTGTCCAGCTAATTTCTTTCTATTTTTAGTAGAGACGGGGTCTCGCTCTTGCTCAGGCTGGTCTCGAACTCCTGACTTTGAGTGATCCTCCTGCCTCAGCTTCCCAGAGTGCTAGGATTACAGGCATAAGCCACCACGCCCAGCCCTAATTTTTTTTTTTAATGCTTCATTTTCTATTGCTGTAAGAAATCTGGCTTTACACTATTTGTTAGTCACGACCATTTCAGAGTGCTCACCAAATTTTCATTTGATTGAGAAACCTGGAAAATCCATACAATTAAAGGTGTTAGTAAATATAAATTTGCACTGTAATAATATAACCCCTGAAAAAGTAAATAAAAGCCAGTGTTTGGGACATCACACACAGAAGCGTTACATCATCAGAAAGATTGGTATTTTTCATTATGATTGATTTTCTATCAGGAAGAGTATTTTAATTGTGTCATTTGGATCCTAGAATTTAATACAGAAATAGGGAATTTAAATAAAGTCACCAAAAAGATCATTTAAATTGAGGAACTGCTTTAAAAGGAAAGGAGAAAGAGAGCTAAATATATTCACCTTGGCTGAGAGTCAGTGAAGTAGAGACATAAGTCTACAAATATTTGGAACCTGTAAACACCAAGAGAGAAAAGATGTATTCTAATTTTGCAGCAGGATATAACTAAGAGTAAGAAGATGAAATACAGGATGACTCATTTTTATGGGATTACTATTTTAGTCGACTGGAGGAATGCCAAGACATAGTTTATCTCTTATTCAAAATTATGAGCTTCTTGAGATCAAGGTCCATAGCTCACTAATTTTTGTGGTCCTCGCATTGGCATATTGTTTGTGTTCATTAAGTTACTTGAATTCAGCAAAGCATCTGACAATTTCACATTATTCTTTGGCAAAGATAGAGAATTGCTGGCTAAATGATAATATTAAGTATATTTATGGCTCCTTAGTTTTAGAATATTGCTACTGGATCACTGGCATAAATTGAACTATCAGTTAGACTATCTCTTTTTTGCTATTTTATCCTAGTATCTAGCACGCTATAAGCACGAGGTCTTTCCTGAATAAAGTATTCGAATGAAAGCTTGGCCTTGACCCTAGCTCTATCTTTTAAAAGACATTCGTGGAGGTTTCATTTTAAAACTATAACTTGGGTTTTGA